AAAGCTCAGATGATGGTTAGCATTTTTTTAGCAATAATGGGTTTTTTAATTAAGGTATATGCATTGTGTTTTAGACATAGTGCTATTGCACACTTAACAGACTGCAGTATAATGTAAATATAACTTATATTATGCACTGGGAAACAAAAAGAATTCATTTGACTTGCTTTATTGCAATATTTGCATTATTGCAGGGCTCTGGAACAGAACCTGCAGTATCCCGAGGTATGGCTGTATAGTTGTAATGTATAAGTTTTTGCATACTTCTCTTGGTCAACCAAGTTATACAGTATTAACTACATGTTTATCTTTCTAATAACTTAAAAGACATGCATGTGTATATCAATTTTACAAGCAAGTAATATAATAGGATATGGATAACTCTTTGCATAAGTTAGTAAATAACTTTTGTTCTCATGCTTTTAATTTGGTTTTAGATTCTTAAAATTTTCTCTGAAAAAATATCCCCAATATTTAAAGAATGTGAATGTCCTGCATCTTATAAGTTTTAGCCTCTTATCCTTTTATTTTTTCATTGCTGACAGTTTTCTGTACAATTTTAATATACATTAAGACATGTAATTCATTCCTAGTCATGTATAATAAATGTTTTAGTCACATAACTAACAATTTAGTGAAGTTGAGGGAGGCACGTTGCCTACATATAAATCACAGGGATGGCATATGAGGTTTCCATAATACCAGGTATGTTTTAATACAGGGAAGCCTGGCATTTTCAGCAAATTCCCATTCTTTTCTGACCACTGTCCCATCCCTAACTCCTACCACGAACTAAGAAAAAACATTTGGAGAATAGTAGACCTTAGCTTGGTAATGTGCTAACAACCAGATATAGTTTTATCTTTCCTTTAAACATTTCAGTATATGTCTTAGTAATAGAGAGTGATATTATTATATTGGGTCAACTATATTTGTTTATCTCAAGCCAAGACACACAAAAGAACCCGAATTTAGGAATTACTCATGTTTTGTTCCTCAAGAGTCCCTTAGGTTTGGGGTCTATCTTATGAAAGTCCTTTATTATTTCCTATTATTTCATCAACTGCAAAAAATATTCCCACTGGCATCTCAGGAAAGTGGAAGAGAGGATAAAAACTTTAATGATTGGTTAAATGCAGGCCAGTATGAAATAATTCCTGGATAATCAGTTTAAATGGAACATTCCCCACATAAGTAACTAAGATAGAACAGGATACCTGAATTTGTCCTGGATCTTAAATCCTGTGGAGTCACGTTAACTATTAACGATAATGCATACAAAGCTGTGCTAAACACACACAAACAGAATCTAACACTTTACCATGGCTTGCAAAGTTCTTCCTGATGCCCCTCAATTTCCTTTATCATATCTTCTGTAATCCATGAAATATTTGACCTTCCAATCATTTTAAATAACTCTTAAATCCTTGCACATGCTGATCCCTCTACTTGAGTTTCACTTCCACCTTGCTAACCTTTATTCCTTTTTCAGCACTCTATATAGATTCCATCTTACACAGGAAGCTGTATTTGAAGTCCTGAGTCTGGGTTAGATACCACTCTGGTATCCTTCCATACTCTAGGTACTGTTTACATCACTTAATCATCATTGTCTCTTGACTCTTAGTATTATCCAATAGTTGCAAGCTCTGTGAATGCAAGAACCATGCATATCTCAATCTTGTTATATTCCCAGTATTTATTATAGTGCTTGACACGTAGTGGATACCTCATAAATATTTGTGAAAAAATTAATGAATGAATGACAAACACATACATTACTGAAGAAATGGAAAATAGCAGAGTGATTACTTAGCTGAATAGGTGAGCCTTGGTCCATATTTTGAAGAAAATGAAATCTAATAATTGATAGAGAACAGACTAGCATACTGGGTTATATAAAAAAGGAGTGTACAAAAGTCATATTCTAGCAACTGAGAAAAGATTAGCTTGATCAGAAAAGTAGAAAACAGAAATGGAGTGGAAAAAAAATCAGTGGTAGTTGGTAAAGAATTTTAAGAGCTACAAGCTGAAGATTTATTTTAAAACAATCAGCAAGCATATCTTTTAACTAGATGGATATCATGCTGAAAATGATCTTTGAAGAGAAAATACTGATATTTAATCATGTTTGTAAATGAAAATGCTAATGCTACATAAACAGGTAGACTGTAGACTACAGGTTGTTAAAAAAATAAAGATCGTGAATGGCTTTTATACTGCAAGAGGAAGAGAATTTTTAAGCCCTTTTCACAGTTTTCCTCCACCTGTAGGTGTGTGAAGCTTTGGAGAGCGTCCTCAGGGTGCTACCGAGATACTTTATAGCAACACAGTGTCAATTAAAATGGACAGGAGTAAAGCATGGGCTACTGGTCTGGAAAGAAACATTCTGCTCATTCAATAACCCTGCTCTCATCTCATTTTCTTAAGGCTTTAGGATTCGATTATGTGTTAAGAGCTGCACAGGGAAAACTCTGGGTTCTGATTAGATAATAACCAGGTCATTAATTTTTCATATTTACATATAATGTTTCTCATACTACAAAACTAGTTTTCAAAAGCTCTGAAACACATAATATATTCAAGTATCACATTGTGTCTCACTGATTTATCCTTTGTGATCAAATAAATCTGGAACAAAAAAATTTATGTCCTAATCACCGAATTAAATAGCACATGTATGAAGTGTGTGGCTGTGTTGTCTAAATAATTAACCACTACTCAATGATTATGTTAACTGGGGCATACTGAAGTAGTTAAGATTAATGAAGACATTGCTTGCAGTTTAAAAGCTTCCCTATCAACAGTTTCTCTTGTTGAAATCAAAAAGAACTTTGTAATTTTTACATTAATAGTCTCAAATTGGAAACATCTGCATCCTCTCCAAGACTGATGATCAGAGGCCTCATAAAAGATCAATATCTGGTAAGTATGATCTACAGCGACCACTCAAAAGGATGAAAAATCAGAGACACCAGGAGGTAAAAAGCTATAGTAAAAAAGTGGCCACTATGGAGACCTGGAGGGCTGGGTATTGATCTCATCTTTGCCATTTGCTGGCTGTAAAATGTGGACAAGGTCCTTGGTTTCTATGACTCTCAGTCTCCTCATCTGAGAAGGATGGAGATTAATAATACCTATCTCAAAATGCCTTCTGTGAAATATATAATATAGTGCTGGGGACATAGTAGGTGCTCATCTAATATTTACTATTAATATTAATGGCAGTTGGATCATGATTAGGTGCATTTTTTCACTAACCCCTTTGGACAAAAATACATCTTGGAACTTGCATTATGTTTGTATAAAGTATTCTTATGACACATCATACAATTTTTTAACGTCTCTGCATCATGGGTCACTCAGAATCAAAAAGTTCCAGAGTTGGAGGAAAGCAACAAGAATATTTGTTTTTCTCAGTTGGCATCACAAAGAAGTTTTTCTCCCAGGTGAGAAATATTCTAACTGTCTGCTACTTGCTTCTCTCCAAATTCAAACTATCAGGGGCTTAGGGAGGAAAAGTAGCAAAGTATTTCTCCCCTCTGGGTAAATTAGGTCTATCCACTCTGCTGTTAGGTTGTTTCCCCAAATAATCAGCAGGCCAGGAGGTTATGGTGGTGCCCAGCCCATCACTGAATGAGCTGCTCTCCTAGGTGATTCTGCCTCCAGTTTATAGACCAAACTAATCCACTCATTACCGCACACCCACCATCTTTTCAGGGAGATAAGTGCTGCCCCACCCATTGGTGGCTCTAGTGAAACCGGCTGCTCGTACCTCTTCCACCTTGCATATCTATAGAAACATGTCCTGTCTCCTTGATTCTGCTGTCTAGGACCAAAGCTGCCTCATTTACAAGAATGAATGTTTATTGAAAGGCTAGAATGGGGTACAGTGGAAAGAGCTTTGGTATCAGATGGACTTAAGGTCAGATTGTTGTGCTACAACATAAGTGGCTTTGTGACTGCTGACAGCATCATAGAGTCTTGGTTTTCCCAGGGTTTTATAACTGTTTTGTAGGGTTGTCATGAGGAATAATTGAAATTACAGACCCAAAGTATCTAGCATAAGATTGTTTTTCTCCCTGTTCTTACATATCCAGGCTCCCCCAAAATCACAGTTCTTGTTTGAAAATTTATGAAGTTCATTTAAGCCAAATTATAAACACACACACACACATGTATATATAGGGAAAGGTAACTTATCCTAATGTTTCAAACTTTTTATGCTAAACCTGGTAGAATCCTTTAGTAGCTCTCCCAAGTCCTTCTCTCTCTCATTAAAAAGAGTCCTAGAGTTAAGAATTTCCTTTCCCTCTAATCAAGGAACACAGTTTGAAACCTTTCTCAAGTAATGAATCAAAGAAATTGAGTCAGCAGTACACACATACACACTCAAACACACACAGGATATGAGTTCAACGAGGCTTTAGGCTGAGCTAAGAATGCCCACAATTAACTGCAGGGAGTTTCATGTCTTAAGTGAATGTTTTAGCAAAGAATTCCTTCCCTAAAAATGGAAGCAAAATAATAATGTTCAAAACATAGTGTTAAAAAAGTTACACCTGAATTGAAATTTCAGATTTACCATGTATTAATTGTGTGATTTTGAGATACAGCTAGTACACGCCAAAACCACTTTATATGTAAAAAGGAGGTAATATCTACCTACTGTTAAGATTAAATCAGATCCTTATGAATCATGTAATACAATGCCTGAAACATAGTAGGTGTTGAGTAAATGATAGATATTTATTATTGATTTTTTTGGTAAGTATCACTAGGAAGCCTAGTCTCTTAAATAGCATCCTAAATTGCTCATAAATACACAGAGAGAACATATACAAATAATCCTAGCACCACTCCCTCCCACCATGCCTTTTTCTACTGAGGAGCGGGCACAGTCACATATACACGCTTCTAGGGCACAATTGCTTTAAACTGAAATCTTCCTCCTTGTTCTTTATCTGATGTCCAACTGAGCAAGTTTATTTCCCTTTTCACAGGGAAGCATTTCCAACATCAAAAGGCAGGCTCCCTGTACCTGTTAAATCTTTTCTCCAGGCTGAACATCCTCAGTTCTTTAACTGTTACTCATATTTCAGGGTTTCTAGATATTTTTCACCAATGGTAATCCTTTCCTGGAGGAGTTATTAGACCTAGATAGAGTTTTATTTCTAAATAGTGAAATACTAACTTAGGACAGAAAAAAAATCATCTAGGAAGAAAGAGAACTTAATGGGAGAAGCCGCCCTCACCCCCACCCCCACGCTAATAATATATTGTCTTTTATTACAGGAATGGTTTTGGCAGACAATTTTTAAAACCAAGTAGGAACAGTGAAAGCCCTGTCGGCTTGTGTCTGCTGCTCTCCTGCTGCTCCATCAGGATGCCGCCAGGAGAAAGATCTCCAGCATCCTCCGGTCCTAGTTTTTAAAATACTTTTCAGTCCTCAGTGTATATTCAAGTGTATCTTTTCTTTGCTACCATATAATCACTCAACTTCTGCAAGTTAATTCTCTAAGCAAGATGACTTCTTAAAGGCAAATTAAAGCTCAACAGAATTAATGTTGCTCATCTTACCTACTCAAGAAATGATTAAATGTAGCCTGACCCTTCTCCTGTGGTAAAATTTAATATCCTTAGCTGCACTATAAATAAGGGGTACATTAATCCTAAGTTATCACTGCTTCATATACACAGAGTTATACATTTGGGTTAATCGGTAGGTATGTACCACAACTGCTTTCTCTTTATTCTCAGGCAAAGGACAAATATGTTAGTTTGCACAGGTTAAATGATGTGGACCTTGCATTACTGTTCCCAAGCCTTTATCATCATACACATTTTAGCAAAAAGTAAATGATTCTCAGTTTTTTGACTGACTGATAAATAGGGTCTTTGAAAGCCAAACAACTGTCTCTTCATGATGTGTTGAATGATTTGATGTTCCTGCTACTTTTTTCTTTTAGATTTGCTTTCATATAGTTGAGATAGTGATGGAACCAGGCAGATGAACCTGAGACATTATACATGAGAGAACAATCTGGCTCCAGACACCAGGCCACACTAGCCTTCATCTCCCAGCATCACCATCACCTCACCCTTATTTTGCTTTCATCATTCAATGCTGTTCAGTTTGCACAACTACAACATACACCACGTGGATCTTATATTTCTTAATACCTTTTCCCAAGGTTAAATTTTATTTGCCAATTGGATCTCCACCCTTTTCATTTCTACTATCTTTTCTACCATCACTTTGATTTCCTAAAAATTTTTGACATTTAATGTTTAATCTCTTTCAACTTCTTTTTTTCTTTCCATTCAAAGAGCTTTGGGTGTTCTGTCCTTTACATCACTGAGTTGAGAAGTCTGTGCCTTACTATATATCCATGGAAATATAAGCCAGCAATTTATTTGTACTGGAGTCTGTGCTTATTGAGGCTTAATCCATTTTCACTTCAGCTTGCCCTGCAGTCTACATTCTCATTTTGCTAAGAAGCAGTATAAAACCAGTTTTAAGTGCTTTAGACTTCTGGGACTGAGTGCCAAAATTTCAATTCCACCTATGCTACTTACAGTATTTTTACTCTTGGCCAAATTATTAAATTAAGTCTCAGTTTTCTCACCTTTAAAATGGGGACACTAGTCATAATTATCCAAGAGTTACTATAAAAATTAAGTGATACTGTGCATCTTTCATACTTAGCACAACACCCAACATGTAAAATTAATTAAAAAAAAATAAAGACCATCATGAATATAAATAAGTCCCCATGCTCAGCTCACGGAGGAAATATCTTTTTAAAACTCACCATAAAAATAAAATGGACATTTTCTAAAATGTTCTGCCATTTCCTATAATGAATAACTGTGAGCTTTGCAAATTTTTTAGGTCTTTTAAGTTACCACTCTCCTCTTTGCTATGTCTACATTGTCCTTCTGTCCTCTCACCCTTAAATGATAAATGAATCTTTTGAGACTGTGAGATAACTATAATTATTTTTCTCTAGCTATAGAAAAATCCATACCTGTCCACTCTTCACAGAACTGTTAAAAGATTTCATCTCATTTATGTGTACAAGTTCATTTCTTTAGGAAGTTAGGAGAGAAACTCTGAAGAACTCACTATTAGCCTACCTGATTAAGAATCTTAGTATTCTTTTATACATGTGTGTGTGTATGTATAAATAAATATGTTTCCATTACACTGAAGTCATAGGAAACTATTTTCATCTTTCTAATAAGCTACATCAGAGAAAGCAAATCAGTTTGTCAAAACTGTAATGACATTATAAAATCTTCCTTTGATATTATATATTGGGTTTAGTCTTATTTTGTATTTTGCTACTTCATTCAGCCGATATGTATCAAGTTCCTCAGAGAACATGAAGTCAGTATTTTGTATTATTTTATACAATTGGGCATCTGTTTATCTTTTGTCTGTCAAAAAATCTTCTATAATAACACCATAAAGATTAAAGTCCCATGAAATTTACAGAAATTACTAAAATATTCACATAGCTATTATATCAAAATAGTTAAATTTCAGAAAATTAGGCCACATGAAAACAAAAGAATGCAAGCACTCTGAGAAGAGAAACTATGAACAAAAATTATTAATTTGTTTCTAAAGAAGGAATGAATTTTAGTTATACAGTAATTATGAAGCAAATCATTTGGTACATGTATCAATTTATGTACTGTGCTATAAATTGCCTTCCTTATGGGAATAAAAGCCAGGCAACAAAGAATATGTATGACCCAGTGAGCAAAGCAAAAAACTATTAGTTTTGCTGTCAAATGAGGTTGACAGGACTTTTTCAAGGCAGATTACACTGAACTATCACTGTTTCTATCACATTTCTTTTATATTTGCCACTTAATGTAAAGAGAAAAGGCTTCTCCTGCTGGTGAATCGTCACACTGGAGTCTGCGGTTGTGTCTCTGAACTATTGTGAAACATGCCTTGAATGTTCTTGGAAAGTCATAAAACATGATCAGTGTAGGAGGTAGTTTACAAATTACACTTACTATTAATCAACTCAGATATGAGTCATATTAAAATGAATTTAGAGGTTTCTTGTTTATCTTCTTGCCTACAACTAAGCAACTCCATGAAAATCTTAGGAAAATCTCTGGTATTTAAGAAGTCAACCTGCTAGCTCCCTTATTAAGGTCTTAATAAAAGTCCATCCAATAGTGTCTTAATCTAAAACATGACTTAAAACAGTTTCTTTGAGGCAATTCTGTTCATTTTCATTAATACGAACAAACTCAGTGTACCAATTGATGATACATGTTGGACATTTTCTATTTGATCAGATGATTAATGACAGCTGATCATCAGGATATATATCTTTAACTATGGAATAAACTAAAAAATGTAAGACGATTATGAATGGAATTGCATTCACCCTAAAATCAATCACTAATGTGGAGTTTCCATCTCTTATCCTGACCTTTTTCTATATATGCCTAAGACACCTTCGCAAAGACTGCATCTTCTCTCAGATCCACTGAATCAAATGGGTATGAACTTTGACTTAAACAAATGAAAAAAAACTTAGAGCTTCAAAAATAATCTTTTACAAATTGTACACTGCATATTGTTTCTTTAACACTGAAACAGGCTGATAAAAATCCAAATGTTTTCATTTCTTCAGTTTTTTTTCTATTGTGAGAAAGATTGAACATTAATTATTAATTAGATAACTGGAGGCTAAATCTACTTTCACTTAATGATATCTACTTTTGGGGTCTTAATTTATGTCCATTGCATGACGTGGTTGGTTTGATCTGTACTTTGATATTTTGATTGAAAACAGGACTTCAGGAGGTGAGTTGTTATACTGGGTACATTTGGCATGGGGTATCCTTTTTTTGGGAAAAATCAGAGGGATTTTTAAGATAATATTGTTCTGTTCAAAATATAAAATAGAGATGTGGTTCATATTTTTAGAGAAAAGCCAAGTTCTAGGTACCTGTAAGGCCAGAGGTCTTCATATATTTTGATGGTTCTCTTTCCATGCTCTTTGGAAATCAAGGGAAGTTTACTTCAAATTTGTAATCTTAAATAGGGTGTGGGCACGTTGTCTAAAGTCAGAGATAAAGTGATACTCGTGCCCAGGATTTCCTTAATCAAGGTCAGTCAATGAGGATCAAAGCAGGTTCTCCCTCCCTCCCTTTCTTCCTCCCCTCCCCACACTCCAGCATAAACCATACCTTTTATGAATGGGCTTGAGCCTTCATATAGGTTAATAAAATGTCAATTTAAAAGTAGCTATACTTTCTTTATCTCCAAATATCTCCAATTAAAAGGCTTTCTCATAATCATGTAGTAGCTTTTCCTTAAACCATAGTAAAGTTTATCACTAATAATCCCCTGTAAGGCTCTAGCATTTTTAGAATTTCCCTGAAGTTTTTATGAGTGACTCAAATGCCATCAAGAGAACATAATGCATCATATCTATTTTAAACTTCCTTGGATCCTCCTGCTGATGAATGTTCATAATTCGAGGCAAAGTTAATGGAAGGATGAAACTCCCCTTGAGAAGAGAATAAAGGTTGGGGAGCTATCTGAACACAAATTGTGTGGTGCTTCCATGCAAGCAAGCCTAGAGTACACTACGGGGCATCAGAGCTGTATTTGTCATTTGTCATTCCAAAAACACCGGCAGTATCCATGGCGGCTCTGAGGGGAAATAAATTATTACTTTGCCAAAGTTTGATTACCACTTGAAATGATATTCTAATAATCACCTACGAGTACTGAAGGAAAAAGCAAGCAGAGAACAAGGTAAAAATGAAAGAATTGTCTTTTAAAAATAATTTCTGACGTGTCTTATGCCTCAAATAATACCTACCCAAGAGCAATAATACATTAACATACGAGTAAAATTTTATAGTAAGAGAGCATTCCTAATATTTCATGGTTTACTTATTAGTTAGAAGTTATTTTTCTCTTATTCATTGCCACTAAATAGAGTAACATTACATTTCAGATTCCTTAACTATGAAATAGGGATAATAATAGCACCTTTCTAACTAGTGTGTTACGAAGATTAAGTGATTTAATACATGCAAAATAATTAGGATGGTCCCTGACATATTAACCACATGGAGAAAAAAATATTACTATCTGCCGTGATCATAAGGATCCAATTCTCTCTTCTTTCCAGATAGTATAGGACTGTACTTCCCCATCCCCTTGACATAGGGTGATCTGATTTGGAGGTGGGAAAGAAGCACCTATTATAAATTCCAGGATTATTCTTGGATGTCAGGTGGATTATAGAACTTCTGAAGAAGGAGCTGGGGAAATGACAAATTGTTTTGGACACAATGCGTCTGAGCTGACTATGGACAACCAGCTGGGCGTGTCTATCAGCCACTGGACCACAAAGTACGGGGCTGGAGGCGGGGCTGGAGTCACCAGTTGATATGCGACTGTTGGAATCATGGGGCTTAAAGGAACCATCCAGGAAGGATTTATAGAGACATTCTGAAGAATAATGTGTGGAGATCAAAGTCTGAAGAAAGGTAATCTAAGGAAGGATGAAAAAGAAGAGTGAGAGGTCTGAGGGCTTCTGGCACAGCCAAAGGCAGGGAGAACATTGGAAGAAAGTGAGGTCACAGAAGTCATTACAGAAAATAAAGCTTTAAAACTCCCATAGCCGTGGCAAGCACTCAAGTTACTACCCAGGAAAATAGTACCTTTCAATGAATATGCATACTATCCAATTTATTCCTGCAAAGCCTCTATTTCTTAAATTCATCCATAAGAACACAGACAAGTTTGAATTTGTTGCTATTTAGTACATCAGCCCCTGGCTGGATTACAATTCCAACCTGTTTCTGGTTGTAGAGACAGACCGCAACACAAGTAAGAGGGTTAAGAAAGAGACTGATGGTACAGGTTTTGCTACAAACATTTTAAAATTGGATGAGTGAAGTTCTCAGATTTCTCATCTGCTACCTAAAGAGGCTGAATTATTTTGTGCTGAATGAGTCCAGGTGCAATTTTTCATCTCTATGACTCTTAACTGTGAAGACGATATGACTGATGTGGGTGCAACCATGGGTTGTCCATGTGTGGAGGCACTGGATGTCCCTTCTCTTAGGTACCAGTCAAATCAGTCACCTCAACTGTCAGGAATATGGCAAACAAATGCATAAACTGTGCATTTATGATGACTTTTTAAACTAACCTATAACTTCTGTTTTGTTGCCTGAAACCTATTTCATTAGCCTTGAGTTTAGTCTTTTACTCAAATAAAATGGAATATGTTATTTTCGACACTGATATTCTCTCTTCCTCTCTCTCTCTCTCTCTCTGTATATAATAGATATAGATATAGATATAGATAGATACACGTATGAACTTTAAGAGGTTTTTCTTTTGGAGTCAATGCTCTTTAATCTAACGTAAAGGGAGTAAAGGATACAGGGGAGGATAAAATACAGATCCCTGATTTCTGCTAAAACCCTCAACAAACTTTCCAAACCTGTTCATTTAAGTCCAACAGTAAAGTGAAAGCACACTTGAATTGGCTTGGATTTGGTTATTATGAAATTTGGGATCTGGCTATTAAAACCACTGGTGGCTTGAAATCAGCCACTGTGGCATGTTTACACCTGAGCAAATGGCAAACACTGGACACTAGAGCTTTCTTTCCTGTTTTGGAGGTGGGGCGGCTGGGTTTCACAGCGCACCAAAGCTTCTAACACCAGGGTGGCCTACAGTTCCACAGCCAGTGGCTTTATCCTCATGAGCTGTTGGTAAGGACTTTCCCAGTGATGGTAACAAGCTTCTCCTGTGGACTGCGGGCTGTGAAGCTGATTCTCATTTTATATGTAAACCTGGTGTTTGGATGAGTGCTGTTTAGTCATGCAAGCCAACACTTACTGGGAGAATAAGAGAGAAAAACTGAAACAAGATCTTTTTTCTTTTTCTCTATGAAAACACAGCTCCCTGGATTGACCTGCCTTTCGCTCAACAGTCCCAGGCAGAAGAAAGTACCTGAAAACCCAGTTTTCCCACATTAATGCTTATAATCATGACTGAAATGGTTTGCTTCTGGTTTTTAATAAATGATAGTCTCATCTCCTACTGCTGTTTTCTCTGGTAGATGCTGCCACGAGTAGCAAGTAATGTCCACTAATTCTCAAATGGACAAGCACAAATGACTGAGTTCTAGTTCTGACTTGCCAGTGAGTCCCCATGTAATGCTGAGAACAGATGTTAAGTTCCTAGTTTAAGCTTTAAACCCAGTACATTCAAGTCATTTTCCAGAGATTAAAAATTGTATTGCCATTTGCGACATGGATGGACCTTGAGGGCATTATGCTACTTGAAATAATTTAGAGAAGGACAAATACCATATGAACTCACTTATAAGGGAAAACAAGAAAAACAGCTCATAGATACAGAGAACAGACTGGGGTTGCCAAAGGTAGAGGTGGTAGGGGTAGGCAAAATGGGCTAAAGGGGTCAAAACATACAAACTTCTAATTTGAAATAAGTAAGTCATGGGAATGTAATGCACAGCATGGTGACTACTGTTAATAATATTGTATTGCATATTTGAAAGTTAATAAGAGAGTAAATTGTAAAAGTCAGCTCAAGAAAAATACTTTGTTTTGTAACTGTGTGGTGACAGATGTTAATTACACTTGTGTAGTTATTTCATAATATATATACAAATAGCAAATATTTATGTTGAAACTAATACAATGTTTTATGTCAATATTGCAATAAAATTTCTAAAAAGAGATTAAAATGGTCCATTTCTGTATACTGCAAATATATTTATATTTATACTGAATGATTCCTGCCCTTCAAAAATTTATATTAATGTGGAGAGGTAAAGATTATCAGACACAAAACAGCCAACAATGTCAATCATAAACTCTTACATTAAAATAGGAGATCGATATAAGAGGCAAATATGATGATAGGAGACAGCTTGGTGAAGGTAGTAGAACTGGAGTCAGCCCTGAAACAATGCAAAGAGTCGTTTTGTTTTGTTCTGTTTTGTAAAGGTCTAGGGAAGGGCATTTTGAGAGGGAAAACAGTGACAAGGAAGTAAAGAGGGACGCTTATGTGAATGAACCAACTCAGGGTCAGTGGGGCACTGAGCCCGGCTGACCAGCCCTGTGTGATGGTACCTAGAGGACAACAGGCCCTGGAAGATAATGGGAATGATTTTGCCTGTCCAGAGCATATATTAGCCTGCTGTGCACTGAATTCTCACTTCTAGCTCTGGAATATAGCTTGTGAAATGATCAAAGAAACCAGCAACCCTGACACCTCTCCTCTACCTGATGCAGCGCGGCCTGTGTCTTCAAAGGGCCACCTCTCTGCCCAGGGAATTCAGGGAATAGGAAGGCAAGCGTTTGGAGGACTCCTGGTGAATGAGATATCAAATTAAAAAATAAAAGTAAACTAGCAAAGAAAAAAAGGACCACATAGGACAGGTGGATTTGAAATTGTACCTATTGAATTAGTCTGAATATGACTTTAGTGTAATTATATCCTCTGACTCTAAAATATGCTAAGTCAAACCAGACAGTACTTGAAACTTGACACTTAATTCTCATTCTGAATGTAACAATAATATCTGTAGGCATTGATTCTCAAATAAACATTGTGGTTTCTCTATTTAGATATTCTTATGATTCAAATACAAATAGTTTAACAGATTGTATTCTATGTGAATGTCTTTTTATGACATAAGCAACTACATTTAAATGTGCAAAAACTCTTCCTTGGGTGATTTGCATTCTTATATCCCATTATAGTCTCCTATTTGAATTTCCATCTGGCTCCTAATATCTTTTTGTGTTTATTATTGCTTTAATGAAATCATCTTGTTTTTACATACCTAGATTGCATTCTTATCTGGCAAAAGCAATCTCTAACCTTATTTCTCTCCCTTAAACACCTTAGCCTTAACCTTGGAGCTTAATGCCATCTGGTAGGAGATACTTCTAAAAGAGCAAAGGGGGAGAAAAACCATTGAAAGTAAAATGTAAATAAAGGTTAGTCCTTTATCTCTTAAAATCACAACAGATAGACTGTTTCCTTTTGTAAGATTGACCTATATCCACCTCTATACTGCCTCTCTGAAGATTTATCAAAATGAAGTAATACATTGATATATCTTGGATTGAAGCAGAACCTGAAAGAATTCAGTAGATTCTATGCAGATTTTCCACTGGTAGGCACTGACAGGGCTTAAAGTTGATAATTCAGTTTTTATTTAACAGTCATAAAGGTTATCTTCAATCTGTGCTATCAACTAAAAATTTGTTCATTCAGATAGCTTTCCCCAAAAAGACTGAAAACCATTTCTAAAACAGACAGAAAGAGCTCAATAAAAAGAAATCATGATCCATATCCACTTTAAGGTTTATTTCTTGAAAAGCAAACCTTACAACAGGTTTAGACTGCCAACTAAAATTCTAATTCTGGAGCCAGTATCTTTCAAGAACAATTCAAAGCCTCTTCTGACTTCTTTGCATGACAGAGCAAACAGTACACAATAAATGAGGTATTTATTTACTTAGTCATTTAAATTAATGAGCACATAGTGCTTATTGTATACCAGGAAGTTTTTAAAGTGTTTTACATGTTAATTCATTTCACCCTGACTCCATATAATTCACTTGGGGCATAAGGTTTAAAAAAAAAAAGTTTTTTAATGAAGTATCTCTAAATACAAACCCTCTCTATTTTAAGTGCTTCTTTAATAATACTAATAATAACTGCTGTTATTGGGTGCCTGCTAGGTGATGACACATGTTAGCTCACCTTCACATCAGCTCTTTAAGATAGGCACTGTTAACTCCAGTTCATGAAGGAGTAAACCCTGTGTCACAAATCCTAGTTACCAGGGCCAGGACAAAAACCCAGGAGTCAGTGTCTCAAATCATGTGCACACACTTTGACTTTCTCACACTCACTCTTCTAATGCACTTCCTAACACATTTTTTTCTTTCTTTTTTAGTTCTGTAGTCTACTTTTCATAAAGTTACTGGGGCAATTGCTTTCTTGTTATAAATCTCTCTCCCACCCATCTCCAGTCTATCCCTGCTGGCAGCACACCAGGGAAGCCTTCTTACTTCTGCAGCACTCTTAATTCTCTCTCTTCCAGTCTACTCTCCATATGGCCAATAGGCTGATCTTTAGAAAACACAAATCTCATCACATCACTATCCTGCTTAAAAACTCTCAAAAGTCCTCCAGTGCTTTCAGATTACAATCTCACATCTTAACCATAACATACAAAGCCCCTGATGATATGGACTCTACTGGCCACTGCCGCCTCATTCTCCCCTTGACAGCCCAAGCCTCCCTTTGCCCAACTGTACCTTACTCTCTCTCTCTCTCTCACACACACACATGAACATATACACACATAGACAGCCCGTGTTTCAGCTAGATTACTTCCTTGTCAGTTTGCTGTTTTTGTGCATCAGTAAGGTATCATTTCTCTGCTTGAGTGCCTTTTATCCTTTCCTAAGCTCCTATGTGTGCTTCAGTAGTGCCTGAGATGTGACCTGCTATGGGACATCTCAGACATCTCTGCACCTAGGTCAGGGGGTTCCCCATTAGCACATTCATCATGTCCCAAGTTTATGGGAAGCTAAGCATCACCAAGCCTTCAGACAGAGTTTTCTAAGTTACTAACATATCCAGGAGAGGAAATTCAGCCCTGAACAAGAGAAAGATCTTTCATGAGTGGTCTCGTGCTAAATGACCATTGCTAGTAGAATGGTTATTTCTGCTAATAAGTACATATTATTACATACTAAGTACATACTATAATATTTAATCCTTATAAGAGATAAGATGACACACATTTTACAAAGATGGAAACTGAATCTCAGAGGAGTTAGTAACTAGCCCAAATCACATAGCTGGATAACTGTTAAAATCAGGACTCTAGTTAATTTTAAATCCTGTGCTTGCCCCATATAATCCTCTCTTAGTGCAAGTAACGTGGAGGTTTCCAAATCCTAGTACAGGTGTGCCCAGGACCTGTCTTTGGAGGGGAGAGGTAGGTAATGAATGAATACCAAATCAAGTTATATATCCACATCAAAGAATGTGACTCTTGGCACATTCTTAGAGAAATGAGCTACGGTGTAACAAGGAGAAAACAAATTTTAATCTCTAAGCAAATCTGGAATTGCATCTGTCAGTGATTGGCTATGATAACACCAGCCAAATTCCTCAGGGGGTTATTGAAAAAGGGGTTACAACATCATATTGATAAGCCATAGTGATCAAAGGAAGATGGGAGTTGGAACAAGAATAAAACTTATTCAGCAGAGGGAAGTGCTCATAAATTACAGAATACTGCTGTAATAATTAGTGCCACTTCATTCAGAAACATGTGCAACTCTTGAAAGTCAAAAGGGAGAAAAGGTTGAAAGAGTCATGATGTGTCAGTTTACAGGTAATCCCTCTGAACCTAAAATTTCAGAGAGTCTCATTCATGCTACACAAACTTGATTGATGACTGTTACCAAAGGAATGTGGGTATAAACCTGGAAACTAAATCAAAAGATAATGCTGTTATCATTTAGAAACTACTTACACCACAACTTTAAAACTGAATCAATAAATGTTTGACAGGTAAGCTCTAAGGAAATAATTAATTCAACAACTGAAATTCCAGCTATATTTATATTATTACATACTAAGTACATACTATAATATTTAATCCTTATAAGAGATAAGATGACACACATTTTACAAAGATGGAAACTGAATCTCAGAGGAGTTAGTAACTAGCCCAAATCACATAGCTGGATAACTGTTAAAATCAGGACTCTAGTTAATTTTAAATCCTGTGCTTGCCCCATATAATCCTCTCTTAGTGCAAGTAACGTGGAGGTTTCCAAATCCTAGTACAGGTGTGCCCAGGACCTGTCTTTGGAGGGGAGAGGTAGGTAATGAATGAATACCAAATCAAGTTATATATCCACATCAAAGAATGTGACTCTTGGCACATTCTTAGAGAAATGAGCTACGGTGTAACAAGGAGAAAACAAATTTTAATCTCTAAGCAAATCTGGAATTGCATCTGTCAGTGATTGGCTATGATAACACCAGCCAAATTCCTCAGGGGGTTATTGAAAAAGGGGTTACAACATCATATTGATAAGCCATAGTGATCAAAGGAAGATGGGAGTTGGAACAAGAATAAAACTTATTCAGCAGAGGGAAGTGCTCATAAATTACAGAATACTGCTGTAATAATTAGTGCCACTTCATTCAGAAACATGTGCAACTCTTGAAAGTCAAAAGGGAGAAAAGGTTGAAAGAGTCATGATGTGTCAGTTTACAGGTAATCCCTCTGAACCTAAAATTTCAGAGAGTCTCATTCATGCTACACAAACTTGATTGATGACTGTTACCAAAGGAATGTGGGTATAAACCTGGAAACTAAATCAAAAGATAATGCTGTTATCATTTAGAAACTACTTACACCACAACTTTAAAACTGAATCAATAAATGTTTGACAGGTAAGCTCTAAGGAAATAATTAATTCAACAACTGAAATTCCAGCTATATTTTTATAAATTCCCTCTATATAATCTAACATGTGATGATGATAGTATCAAACACAGGATTCTGCAGTATACAAAAGACCAAGATTCATAATCCCAGTTAGTGGTATTAAGTTCACAGG